GCCGGGGGAACGTCGACTGTCGTCAAAATCGAATTTTTCCGCCGGGTGAACGTTGATTCCGTATTTTCTGACCCGCCTAATGCCACTGAGACTCTCACTTGCCCCAGAAATGCAGAAATAAAAAAAATGTTTTTTCACCCGGAGCCAAAGTGCCATATTTAGTTTTTTTTCGGGGGGAAGTGAATGTTGATTCCGTATTTATTCGCCCCTCTGATGCCAATGAAACCCTCGGAGGCGCCAGAAATATCGAAATATAAAATTTTTTTTTTCACCCGCAAAATTTCCCAAAATATTCCCCACATCCCACTATTTCCCAAGGTTCTATTTCTCTGATCCCGCTGTTAATCTCGAGCAAACAGATCCATTTTTCCTCTCAAAAGCCTGACAGCCTACTCGTTATGATCCACAACCCATGACAAACGACACAAGACCCCGGGGATCTGAAATTAATTCAATCCACGTAGCGCCTAAAATTCCGCATTCAAACAGCCCCCGAAATAAGATGTGACAATGCCTCAAGTTTTAATAGTCCCGATTATAATTCATCCCCTCGCGAAAAAAAAGAATTACTCACGTGGCCCTAATAAACTCAAGGATAATTAAAGTCTGACACGAAATATCCCAGTTGGGCTTTTAATCGACACGACGACACGGCGAGGGATGGATCGACTGTAAAAAGGAATTTTCCACGTGGGGACATTTATGAGGACGATGGGAAATCTGGAGGAGGCCAATGTAACTATATAGGTAACGAGCTTATGCCTGGTATAAACGAAACTCGTAAAACTACCGTCTCCGGATCCAGGATTAAAGGTAATAAAAGCTCATTTGACTTGGTTCTTTCACAAGTGGGTGTAAATCAATGAATTCTGTGGCTCTGAATAATGCCAAGCTATTAAGGTCCCTCTATCATATTTTCCGTATTATATTAATAACAAATAATAAATTACGGATTCTTTTCATAGTGCGAGTAATCCGACGATAAACATCGCCATAACGTGGCATTAAAAATTTACCTCTCGTCGGTTTCCATTCATGAACAAAAAAAAATGAGCAAATTGCAAACGACCTACATACATTGGCATTCTGAATGAAGGTTGATGACCTTGGGGAGATGAGTTCAGAGGATAAAATGATGTATTTATAATTCGCAAAATTTGGCGAGTGAAAAATACGGTATTTTGAATATTTCGGATGGATTTATTGAAAATTCCATGAAATTCCAAAAGTTCCGGTACAATTTTTGGAAATTTTTATCGCACGATAGTTCTACTGAAATATTCAAAGAATTTCATTATTGAAAAATCAAAAAATCGTAGATAAATCAATGGAAACTGTCAATTTCAGTTTAATTACCCTATGAAATTTAAATTTCCAAGTGTAACATTTTTCCCCTCGGAAAATATCTAAAAAAAATTGTATTCGATTTCAAATGAGTGGCGCCGTTTAACGGAGACGCCGCGAACTGGAGGGACGTCGCGACGCCGTGAGACTTCAATATTCACTGCCAGTTTTACCTTTCACTGCCGTCGGCAATGCAGACATCGGTAAGGATTTGCCGACAGTCGATTGAAACCAGACCGAAAAAATAAAGAAAAAGAACTAATTTTTCAAATTCACGAGGAAACTGTCTCCGTAAAAAAGAATTTCGGTGCTCAATGATTTTCATTTTCCCTGAAATTGGCATTGCGAGCTATAAACGACGCTGTTGCACCTCTCATTTTCCAGCGAAAATTCCCTCTCACAATTTATTTCACCTTTTTATGACTCGTCGTTATATTCTTTTGATGTCAAATGCACAAATTTTTCATTTCCCGTAACACCGAGCACAACGACCGACGTACACCTCTTCACACAGGATGATATCGAGTCCTGTGAAGTAAATCCCATCCCCCCCCCCCCCCCCCCCCCCCCCCCCCCCCCCCCCCCCCCCCCCCCCCCCCCCCCCCCCCCCCCCCCCCCCCCCCCCCCCCCNAAATAATTGCTAATGAACACATACGGGTCGGAGTCTTTGATACAAAAGCACTGACAGGCGCTTTGTAATGCTCACTTCGCCCTATAACTGGGGTTATTTGCGAATGTGACCACTGGAATTTCAGATCTGCTCTATTCTGCTCTGCTCTCTACATTAACGAGCCGGCCTGCCCCTCTCCCCCCACCCCCCCCCTCCAACTCCCCCATACGGAATGTCGTAATGAGCTGTTTTGTTTATAAATGTCTATAAAATATTTAAACTATCCTCTTTTTAAGAATGTCGGAGAGAAATCTTTTGACATGCGAACATTGCAAGTTTTATTTGAGCCTCATTTGACCCTGAGTCACGGAGAATTTGGAATGAATTTAATTCTCCGTTTTTTATCTTCATGAGACATTTTTAAAAATATGAGAAAAAAATTCAATGCAGTTTACAAAGATTGAAACGTTATTCCGTAGATAATTTTTATGAATTATTCCAGATTTTTTATAAAATATGTAAACAATTCTATTTTTAAGGACATCGAAGAAAATTCCTTTGACATTTCGAGTTGAACATGACAAGATGTTAATTTAACCCCCATTTGACCCTGAATCACCGAAAATTTGGAATGAATTGAATTTCCCATTTTTTACCATTACAAAACATTTAAAAAATCTGCAACTCATGAAAAAAAAAATTCCCTCTGTAATATGATAAAAAAAACAAAACAACTCAAAAATCGTAGAAAACCAGAAAATTACATAGTTGCATAAACGTTTGAAATATAGTTCCTCGAATAACGATGACTAGACGCTAAAGCGAATGGTGAAGAAGGGGTTGGGCAAGGGGTTGCTAGCGCGGTATATACGGCTCGTTAAAATTCCACTGGAATACGATCGACAGTCAGGTTAGAAGTGGTATAACGCTCATGGCTCAGGGAGCAAACCCGAGAGTACACGAGGCTTTGGCAACAGGAAACCCGTTACAGCCCGACACCTCTCAGTGCACGAGACACACATTTTACCCGACATAAGCATCCTCTTACCCTCGAACAGAGGTAGAAAAAAAAAAAGTGCTGTTGATACCGCGATCCAAGCCACCGCGAGCCCGTAATCGCCGTGGAAAACGAGATACGAAATTCCTATTATATTAAATATATCGCCACACATTCTGGGGGGGGGGGAATTAANTTTCTCATTTTCATCCTCGTTAAAAAAATTCCGATAAGCACGAACTGCACGATCGAAGTATTCCCGCTTAAACCAGACAAGTGGGCACTCGTGGGCTGTAGCCTCGTCTCTCCAATCTCATCTTTTTTTTTTTTATTATTCTCTGGCAATTCTCTCTTTTTGATTCTAAAGCTTCTGGGCTCGATCAAGTACAGGGAAGATAAAGCGCGAGCGCTGTCACTCGAGCACCCACTGAAACATGACTCTCTTGTTTCAATGTTTGTCAGTCGTTATTCTATATTTCTCGGGGTATGTGTACCATCATTCATCGTACGAGTCACAGCGTCAATCTGCGATTGTAAATCATACTGAAATGCACGCTTTGTGATAAAATAATATTGACTGATTGGATTAACTAGACACTGGGGAGGTGAAGTATTTGATGAATTATGAGTACAATGATGACAGGGAATTGTCTACATCTGAATTGATAGGACGATCAGTCTCCGAATGTAAAGCCAATACGAGTCAAAAAGAACTACGAATGCATTTTTTCATTCTTCGTTTTTATTAAGCATTAATAAAAATTAATTTCCATTTTCAATTTTTATTTTTTAATTTAATAATTAATGTTGACTTTATTTTAATTCTCAATTCATTAAAAAAAATGCATTTGTAGTTTTTTTTGATTCATATCGGTTTGACAATAATCGGTCTTTCAATGAAAATTGCAACAATCAATCTCGCCTGCAACTCAATCAACAATTTATCCCCCAAAGAGACGTTTTTCTCCACTTTCAATTAACAAACGCAAATACTCTTTGTTATTCCACCAAAAGCCGTCTAGATTTGGACATTTATTGATCACGTAATGCAACTCAAGCGTGAACAAGAGGGTTAACGGAGAAGCCTGGTGGCACTGAACGGTCAGTTCTAACGTGAGTTTCTAGTTGTATAACAGCATCGGGCTATAAGGGGGGTGGGGGGG